GCAAGCCTGGGAGGCGGGAGATGTGGAGCAACAATGGCGTGCTCAGGGAGGAGGCGGAGCAGAGGTGAGCTGGGCAGGAGCTGCCGCACGGCTCCCTGGGCCGGGGGTGAGCTACTGTGGGGAGGGGTGTGCCTCAGGGTGGAGGGGGGGTGGGGAAGTGCTGTGGGGGAGGTGCCTCGGGCAGAGCAGGGTGGGGAGCTGCTGCAGGGCTTGGGGAGGGGGCGGAGCAGAGGTGAGCTGGGGTGGGGAGCTGCCTCATGGCTCCCTAGGTGGGGGGGAGCTGCCGCGGGGGAGCTGCTGCAGGGCTCAGGAGGGGGTGGAGCAGATGTGAGCTGAGGTGGGGAACTGCCGCGTGGGGGTGTGTGTGTCTCAGGGCGGGGTGTGTGTGTGGGGAGCTGGCCGGGGGGGGTGGGAGCGCGCAAGGTGGAAGTTTCGCCTAGGGCGCGAAACATCCTTGCACCGTCCCTGGGAACCAAGGTGGACTGGCAGCCCCGCATCAGCTGCCCTAAGTTCCCTGTGCAGCAGCTGCCCAGCAGGCTAGCAATTGCAGTTCTCACTCTCCCCACTGACGTGTGCTGCTCCTGCCCTCTGCCTTGGAGCTGCTCCCCGAGACTCCTGCTTGCTGTGCGGGGGTGGGGGAGGAAGATTGGGGTTAATGTCAGGGTGTCCCCCTCCCCCCTGCTTCTGCACCCTGCTTACCCCATCTTCCATAGAGCGGGGGGCGGGTGGGGACACAACAGGGCTCAGGACAGAGGGATCTTGCGGGCAGCAGCAGCTGTGGTCTCAGCAAGCTGATCTAATAAACAAGGCAGTGTACTTAAAGGGGTAATGTGCATCTCTCTTTCACACACCCACACACACAATATGTGTCTCTGTCTGCGATGCTCTCTCCCCTCCCTCCATTCCTGCTGCCTTGTAGACTGTGAGAGTTAACCCTTGAGGGCTCAGCCAATTGCTAGTTCATCATTTAGCAGTAAGGCATTCCCTGGAAAATATCCCACCCTCTGACTCCTCCACTTCAACCAAGCTTCACAGTCATCATCACTGTGTACCAGTATTAAATTATTTGTTTAAAACTTACACTGTGTGTGTGTGTATGTGTATGTGTGTATATATATAAAAATGTCTTTTGTCTGGTGAAAAAAAATTCCCTGGAACCTAATCCCCTCATTTACATTAATTCTTATGGGGAATTTGGATTCACTTAACATTGTTTCGCTTAAAGTCGCATTTTTCAGGAACATAACTACAACGTTAAGTGAGGAGTTACTGTAATATAATTATAAACCACAGTTTCCGGCCAATGGGAGCTACGGAGTTGGTGCTCGGGGCAGGGGCAGTGCACGGAGACCCCCTGCCCCTTCCCAGAGGCTGCAGGGACATGCCAACCGCTTCCGGGAGTGGCCCAGGGCCATGGCAGTCAGGAAGCCTGCCTTAGCCCCGCTGCACCGCCGGACTTTTAGTGGCCTAAAATCTCCCTTTTTGGCTTCAGTAGCTTCTGGGAGATAGAGCCTGATTCCATGAGACTCCCGGCGAAACTAGGAGGGTTGGCAACCCTTCATCTAGCTGTAGCATTTCAAGTGTAGACAAGCCCTGAGTCCCTCATTTCTGCCCAGGATGCCTGTCTGTTAGAGACCAATGGAGTTTTTGTGTTCTCCCCTCCTCTTTACTTGACTCAGCCCTTTTATGTTTTAATGGTATATCATACAAGGCATTTCTTCCCGTCCCTCAAGTGGTGTGCCCGGGTGCCTTATGCCATGTCCACTCTCTGCATCCCAAATACCAACAGCTAGAAAAAGATAGAGCTTCAAGCTTATCAGAAACCTACCACTAGCCAGAGGCTGACTTACCCTTCAAGTAGGGTCCTGGGGAAGCAATCTGGTTAGAATCAGAGAAAGTGGGAGGCCTGGGCTTCTTATCAGTGCCTATGTAATAGCTTGCTATTGTGTGTGCCCCTCCTACTTCGCTCATCTGCCACATTTACCTGTGTCTAGAGTAGGGGACTAGTCCATTTTTGATAAATCCAGTGATGCTGCTATTCAAAGAGGGCTCTCCAGGAGCTATTTCTACCTCCCTGAGTAGGACCTGAGGACAGCCTCCTAAAGTTGCAGGAGTGTAATTATGTACATCTACACAGCCTGCGGCAACAAGCCTCTGAATGTGGGTTGACAGACTTGAGCTTTTGGGGCTTGCACTACCATGCTAAAAATAGCTGTGTAGAAGTTGTAGCTCGGGCTCTGAAGCCTAGGCATGCAGGAGAGATTCAGCCTGAGCTGCATCTTAAAAGCACTGTCTACACTGTTGTTTGTAGTGTGAGCTCCACAAGCCCAAGTCAGTTGACCTGAGCTCAGAGGCCGAGCTGCTAGCTGTGTAGATCAGTGGTGCCCAAACTTTTCCTCTCGTGCCTCCCCCTACCAATAATGGAATGTGTCTGCGCCCCTCTTGTCTGAGAGCAGAGTTGTGGCCTGGGGCTGGCGGCCGAGAGCAGGGGCCGACGGCCAAGCCATGGCTGGGGCAGGGACAGGGTAGCGGCCGGCTACTGGGAGTGGAGCTGGGTCACAGCTGGGGCTGGAGTGGAGCTGGGGGCAGAGCGGGGCTGGGTGATGCTCCCTCCACACCCTCCCATGGGGCCTGTCCTGAGCCTCACTGGACGGGGCGCGCCCCACAGTTTGGGGACCACTGGTGTAGATGTATACTATGTGAGATCAGCAGCTAGTAAGGCTGCAGCTGGGATAGGGACAGGAAACAGTTTTCTTATCCCCTGAGGAGGCCCCCTAGAGAGTGGGCTCATAGCTGGAGTTGGATTGGTGATCCCTACAAAATAATAACTTATCCTACCTCTCCTGGAGCATGCTGACAATTATCTGACCCTAACTGAAACCTGTTCACCCCAGAGGTGGCTGCATTTCAGTGGTAGGTATTTGTACAAGGTTTGATCCCAGAGTCCCTGGGTACCCAGATCTCCTATTGACTATAGCTGGAGTGTCAATTGTGCTGTTAGTTACTAGAGTCTGCCATCTCAGGGTATTGTTGGATCACCAGGAAAGCACTTCTTCATCTATATCTGTCCCAGAGCTTGCTACTGTGGGTTTTGGATGTGGGCAAGTCTACCCTTATCTGAGCTTCTGCCATGTTAAGATTTGATTACTGCACTGTACTGCCCTTTATATACAGATGCATCTTAAACTGATCTGGATACTGAAGTTGTTGCTTATTAAGGAGCATATCTTGCTGGGAGCACGAGACATCAGTGACTCTGCATGTCACCTGTTGGTTCTGGAGTGGAGTTTAAGGTGTTTGCTGTCAACTATAAACCCCTAAATGGCTTGGTTCCTGCTTATAGGGCCTTGCAAGTCTCCTCTCCTGGGCCACAGCTGTGGTTAGTGAAGGTGCCTGAATTGAGGTCCCCTTGGTTTAAAAAAGGAGGAGATGCTGACAAGACATTTTCTTTGAAGGCCCTTGACTTTGGAACTCGTTCCTTGTGATGCTTCTTGGGGATACCCAGGGTTCTGAGGCATCACCCGCCCCTAGAGATAAGTTACGCTGTCTGCTCATCTCCTCTGTGAAAGATCCAGGGTGTCTGTTTGTACCCATAACGATCTCAGAGCAAACCATTGTCCTTATTCATAGGCAGGACATCCTCCTGTTTGTTCTTTTTGTTTTCTGTATACTCCTTTCTTGTAGATTTTGTCATCTCTTAATCGATATCTGGCTCAGTATGCAAATAGGCCTCCATTGTGGAGCAGACAGTACAGATATGACCAGACAGGGAGGTCTAAGCATCTGTTACCTTCTGCCTGAAAGGAACCTGTCTGCGGCAGGTCAAGGTTCTTACCTTAAGAACATAATATTCAGTATAGATACATAACTTCTTAAATATTATACTTGCATACATTTTGCAATGATTATGATGACCATTAGTAGAGACCTTACATGCCACCTTTGGTGAAGTACTATGTATGTCCCTGACCCAAGGGATCCCTGTAAAACCTCATGTGCCCTCTGCCAGTTGGCATCAAGAGGTCCCTGAGTCACACTCCTTCTCCACCTTGGACTGAAATAGCCCAAGTCTTTTGACCATCAGGGTACCCAGACTTTTGGGGAGAGAGGAACATAAGGGCTGGTATTTGTGGATGAGACTGTTTAATTTTATCCCTGGTTGTTTTGAAGTTACTTCACACAATCTGATAGATCCTTAAGCGCCTTACTGTGTGGTTGAAAGGAGGACACTATATAAATGTAAGAAAATTACTTTGGATGCATGAGACCAGATATGGAGAAACTGTTACTGAGATTTCTTGCTATGTGTACAGATAGTCTTTTAAAGAACCTTCAGTTTTTGCAAGCTTTTTCCTTAATTGTTCCCTTTCCGTTCTTGCTTTAGGCTGGAATCCCAGTGGGCATAGATCTACGAACACGAGTTCTTCAGTTCGTAGAAGACAGAATGCAAACTACTATGGTAATATACAACTTTAATTGATTGGATGCAAGATAAAATGTATGTATAAATAGCCTCCTGTGTATCATTCCTCAGGTACAGTCAGTACTCCTGGGGGAGTTCTGTGCCAAAAAATAAAAAATTCTGTGCACAATATTTTAAAATACTGCAAAATTCTGTGTATTTTATTTGTCAAAATAACACAATATAATCATACCGGTTTCAATTATTTTGGTAATTTATTTCAAAATACCTGTCAAGAACTATGTCTTTAACAGTACAGACAACAAAAAAGATTCAAGAAATGTTTTTGACAAATAGATTCCTTACTAGGCATATTAATACAGAACTTTGAGTAATAATTCATTTAAACGACAATTCAGAAATGTATCTTCTGTACCCCTCAGAAGCAGTGCAAAGGCTTGGGGGAGTCAGGGGTAACTGAGGAGCTGAGGGATAGGGAAGTAATTGCTCAGAAGCAGCCTGGGAGTGAACCTGGAGAGTTGTTGGGTGTGGGTGGGAGAAGTATGGAACAGGGTTTTTTTGGGGAGAGAGATTGTTAGGGAGTTGGGGAGCCTCCCCCATGCTGACCCTGGCTGACCACTAGCCTCTCCCATTCAGTCAGGCACATCTGCCCCTGTTCCCATGTGTCCCTGCACTGCCCCTCAATCACCCTTCCACCACCTGTCCCCATGTGTCCCTGCACTTTCCTTCCCCTGTTCCCATGCTCCCCCTCCCTTGGTCCCCATTTGGCCCTGCACACCCCCACCCCCAGTGTCCCTGCACACCCACTTCCATTTAGTCTCCACTTTAGTCTACTCCCCTCACTAGCCCCTTTGACCCTCTGTGACCCCCCCCCAACAGCCCCGTATGCTCTGCTCTGTCTGTCCCCCCATATCCCATTTTCCTCACCTGACCTCACAGCCAGGTCTCTATGAGAAAATCAGCCTCTGCTTTCTCCCTGTCAGCTGCTGGCTGCTACAGTGAGCTGGCTGCCCTCTGTTTTGGTGCCACAGCAGCCCCTGTTGAGTGAAAGGTGCAACTGCAGTGCTTCTCCGGCAGAATGTATTTTCTGTGGAGAGAAAAAAAAAAAAATCTGTGCAGTGGTGCAGAATTCCCCCAGGAGTAAGTCAGAGCTTGAGTGGATTATGTGATCTCACATTACTGCAATGCATGAAGTGGAGTTTCAATTTCTGGTTTTCACCCCATGTGCTACCTACTTATTCAATTCATAAGTCCTTCAAATAGAAGCAGAGGATCCCTGGTGTATGTGTGTGGGAGGGAGACTGTGAAATTGTTTAAATGCTTCAGTACTTAGTTATATCACAGTTGAGTCACTTTTTTTTCCTTTTCCAAAATGAGGATTTCTGAACATGCCCTGAATTTCCACATTCATACCTTGCTGAGTGTTTGCTGTAGGATTTACCAACATTTTAAGGAATATTTTAATTATTCACTCTTTTTCCTAACCTCTCCCCACAGCTAACTGGAATAATAATTGGAGCTGCAGTGGCATTGCCCCTTATAGGGATTTTTGTGTTTGTCGTTTACAGAAAGGTGAAGCAATCTAGTAAGTACTCAACTTGCTACACATGTTTTAAAACAGAATCTTCTCAGTGGTTTCCTTTGCCCTACTATTTCCTTAATGTAATATGATAGAGCCAGTGCTTGTTCTGGAGGTAATGATTCAAGCAGGAAAATAGCCTTAAAAAGACACAGAATTTGTGTTGCATTGCTGATTGTGCTAACTGTCCGAGTGCATACAGTGTTCAGGAAGCTTAAAATTAGGTGGGTTTAGTTCCTTTAGCATATAATAAACTCCATGGCATCACAATCAATATGTAAATAACTTGGTGTAATCAGGAAATGGCACTGAGTTTGAGTGGGACAGAGGTGAAAATTGGGGGCATCCTTGTGAGGGACAACTGACAGATCCAGTGCACAGCTATAGAAGGAGTTCTGATCTTTGGGAGAGAGGTGAAAGGCCCTGCATGGCCTTTTAAAAAAATTAAATTTATAATAACTGTTTCTTGTGCTCTGGTATTGGAGACATGTTAAGTTCCTTCTTCAGCTGTCTGTTCTCTGGCCTGGCCTGTCGGAGCAGAAATGGCATAAATGAGACAACATGTGGTGGATCAGAGTCCAAATTCTAGACATTGTATCTCCGTGGCCATCAGGGACTGAAAGTTCTATGGAGGCAGTATCCCTGGTGGCTGGGAGGAGGGCCCTTAGTATGGTTCTTGGGCCAACTTGCGGGCTGTTTTCAGGCTCCACAGAAAGTCTGCTGGCGGGATTCTTAGCCCTTCTCTCTCTTGACAGATCTAGAACTCATTCTCCTTCTCAACTTGCAAACATTCCTGAACTTTGCCGTGCATTTCCCTTCTCTGCTCTCCCTGCTTTGTGTTGAAACTTAGCCCTGGTCTACACTACGAGTTTAGGTCGAATTTAGCAGTGTTAGATTTATTTAACCCTGCACCCGTCCACACGACGAAGCCATTTTTGTTGACTTAAAGGGCTCTTAAAATCGATTTCTGTACTCCTCCCCAATGAGGGGATTAGTTCTGAAATCGACATCTCCAGGTCGAATTTAGGGTAGTGTGGATGCAAATCGACAGTATTGGCTTCCGGGAGCTATCCCAGAGTGCTCCATTGTGACCGCTCTGCACAGCACTTTCAACTCAGATGCACTAGCCAGGTACACAGCAAAAGCCCTGGGAACTTTTGAATTTCATTTCCTGTTTGGCCAGCGTGGAGAGCTCAACAGCACAGGTGACCATGCAGTCCCAGAATTGCAAAAGAGCTCCAGCATGGACCAAATGGGAGGTACTGGATCTGATCACTGTTTGGGGAGACGAATCCGTGCTATCAGAACTCCGTTCCAAAAGACGAAATGCCAAAATATTTGAAAAAATCTGCAAGGGCATGATGGACAGAGGCCACAACAAGGACCCGCAGCAGTGCCGCGCGAAAATTAAGGCGCTCAGGCAAGCATACCAAAGAGGCAAATGGCCGCTCCGGGTCAGAGCCCCAGACGTGCCACTTCTGTGATGAGCTACATGCAATTCTAGGGGGGACCCCTACCACTGCCCCACCCCTGACCATGGACACCTGCAAGGGGGGAGTCTCATGCAACAGGGATGATGATTTTGGGGACGAGGAAGATGAGGAGGTGGAGGAGGATGAGGATAACGCACAGCACGCAAGTGGAGAAACCATTCTCCCTGACAGCCAGGAACTGGTTATCACTCTGGAGCCAATACCCTCCCAACCCTCACAAGGTGGGCTCACGGACCATGAAGCCAGAGAAGGCATGTCTGGTGAGTGCACCTTTGTAAATATAATGCATGGTTTAAAAGCAAGTGTGTTTAATGATTAATTTGCCCTGAAGACTTGGGATGCATTCGCAGCCAGTACAGCCCCTCCTTTTAAATGGCCAGCCCAACAGGTGCTTGGTATGGGAAAGGAGGGTGCTGCTGTTTGAAACCATAACCACATGTTATGAAGGTTGAAGAAGCCGAAAGACTGTGGCTTACCATGGCTGCCTGCAAGCCGAATTCTGTTGCCCGGCCCTGCGTGTGTGATCTCTCACACCAAACCGGCAGGCCCTCAATATAAGAGGCAAAATGCGACCTTGTACTGAAAGCATCTGTGCTATGTAATGTTAACAGCTTGGTTCACCGTGAAAGAGTCTACCCATTGTTCTCTAAAATGTGTCTTTTTAAATACTACTCTCCCTTTTTTTCCTCCTGCAGCTGCAAATGTTTCAACGCTCCCCCATCATCTCCGTTCCAGATGCTAGCGCAGATAAGAAGGCGAAAAAAACGCACTCGCGATGAAATGTTCTCTGAGCTCATGCAGTCCTACTGCACTGAAAGAGCTCAGCAGAATGTGTGGAGGCAAACAATGTCAGAGTCCAGGAAAGCAGAAAATGAATGAGAGGACAGGAGGGACAAGCAAGATGAAAGATGGCGGGAGCAAGATGAGAGGTGGCGGCAGCGCGATGAGAGGAGGCAGGATGCAATGCTGAGGCTACTGCGGGATCAAACTGATCATAGAATCATAGACTATCAGGGTTGGAAGGGACCTCAGGAGGTCATCTAGTCCAACCCCCTGCTCAAAGCAGGACCAATCTCCAACTAAATCATCCCAGCCAGAGCTTTGTCAAGCCTGACCTTAAAAACCTCTAAGGAAGGTGTCAAGGCTCCTTCCCCACTCTGAACTTTAGGGTACAGATGTGGGGGCCTGCATGAAAACTTCTAAGCTTAACTATCAGCTTAGATCTGGTCCGGTGCCACCACTCCCAATGTGCTAATTCCCTTCCCTGGGTAGCCTTGAGAGACTCTTCACCAATTCCCTGGTGAATACAGATCCAAACCCCTTGGATCTTAAAACAAGGAGAAATTAACCATCCCCCCCTCCTCTCTCCCACCAACTCCTGGTGGATCAAGATCCAACCCCCTTGGATCTAAAAACAAGGAAAAATCAAGCAGGTTCTTAAAAAGGCTTTTAATTAAAGAAAAAGGTCAACATCATCTCTGTAAAATCAGGATGGAAAATAACTTTACGGGTAATCAAACTTAAAGAGCCCAGAGGACCCCCCTCTAGCCTTAGGTTCAAAGTTACAGCAAACAGAGGTAAACACCCTAGTAAAAGGTACATTTACAAGTTGAGAAAACAAAGATAAATCTAACACGCCTTCCCTAGCTCTTTACTTACAAGTTTGAAATATGAGAGACTTGTTCAGAAAGATTTGGAGAGCCTGGATTGATGTCTGGTCCTTCTTAGTCCCAAGAGCGAACTCTCCCCAAAACAAAGAGCACAAACAAAAGCCTTCCCCCCACCAAGATTTGAAAGTATCTTGTCCCCTTATTGGTCTTTTGGGTCAGGTGTCAGCCAGGTTACCTGAGTTTCTTAACCCTTTACAGGTAAAAGGATTCTGGAGTCTCTGGCTAGGAGGGATTTTATAGTATTGTACACAGGAGGGCTGTTACCCTTCCCTTTATAGTTATGACAGAAGGAGATTCCACCACCTCCCTAGGTACCCATTCCAGTGCTTCACCACCCTCCTAGTGAAAAAGTCTTTCCTAATATCCAACCTAAACCTCCCCCACTGCAACTTGAGACCATTGCTCCTTGTTCTGTCATCTGGTACCACTGAGAACAGTCTATATCCATCCTCTTTGGAACCCCCTTTCAGGTAGTTGAAATTGGCTATCAAATCCCCCCTCATTCTTCTCTTCTGCAGACTAAACAATCCCAGTTCCCTCAACCGCTTCTCATAAGTCATGTGTTCCAGCCCCCAAATCATTTTTGTTGCTCTCTGCTGGACTCTTTCCAATTTTTCCACATCCTTCTTGTAGCGTGGGGCCCAAAACTGGACACAGTACTTCAGATGAGGCCTCACCAATGTCGAATAGAGGGGAACGATCACATCCCTTGATCTGCTGGCAATGCCCCTACTTATACAGCCCACAATGCCGTTAACCTTCTTGGCAACAAGGGCACACTGTCGACTCATATCCAGCTTTTTGTCCACTGTGACCCCTAGGTCCTTTTCTGCAGAACTGCTGCCTAGGCATTCAGTACCTAGTCTGTAGCCGTGCATGGGATTCTTCCGTCTTAAGTGCAGGACTCTGCACTTGTCCTTGTTGAACCTTATCAGATTTCTTTTGGCCCAATCCTCTAATTTGTCTAGATCCCTCTGTATCCTATCTCTACCCTCCAGTGTATCTACCACTCCTCCCAGTTTAGTGTCATCTGCAAACTTCCTGAGAGTGCAGTCCATGCCATCCTCCAGATCATTAATGAAGATATTGAACAAAACCGGCCCAAGGACCGACCCTTGGGGCACTCTGCTTGATACCGGCTGCCAACTAGACATGGAGCCATTGAGCACTACCCGTTGAGCCCGACGACCTAGCCAGCTTTCTATCCACCTTATAGTCCATTCATCCCTCCCATATTTCCTTAGCTTGCCGGCAAGAATACTGTGGGAGACCGTAGCAAAAGCTTTGCTAAAGTCAAGGAATAACACATCCACTGCTTTCCCCTTATTCTGAGAGCCAGTTATCTCCTCATAGAAGGCAATTAGGTTAGTCAGGCATGACTTGCCCTTGGTGAATTCATGCTGACTGTTCCTGATCACTTTCCTCCCTCTAAGTGCTTCAGATTTGATTCCTTGAGGACCTGCTCCATGATTTTTCCAGGGACTGAGGTGAGGCTGACTGGCCTGTAGTTCCCCGGATTCTCCTCCTTCCTTTTTTAAAGATGGGCACTACATTAGTCTTTTTCCAGTCATCGGGCGATCGCCATGAGTTTGCAGAGCCATTGACCATTATCTTTGAAATCACATCCACCAACTCCTTTAGCACCCTCGGATGCAGCTAGGCAGAAACCCCATGGATTCGTGTTCATCCAGCTTTTCTAAATAGTCCCGAACCACTTCTTTCTCCACGGAGGGCTGGTCACCTCCTCCCCATGCTGTGCTGCTCAGTGCAGCGGTCTGGGAGGTGACCTTGTTCGTGAAGACAGAGGCAAAAAAAGCATGGAGTACATTAGCTTTTTCCACAT